AAGGTTTGTCTTTTTTGGCGTGCAACGGGGGGAGGAATCAATCGGAGGGAGGGCCAAATTGTTTTTTGCGTTTTCTTTTGCTTTCCTTTGGCTTTCATTCAGCTTTCTTCTTCTTTCCCACCGCCGCCGTCTCACCTCTTTTTTCTTTGCTCGTCGTCACCAGTTTTTATTTCGCGCGCACGCAGAGAGGAAAAAAAAGGGCGGCGTACAGTACTTTGGAGGGACACGTACCAGCGCGTCCATTCGGCGGGCGGCCGAGGTGCGCCCCACCTGGGCCCGCATGGCAGGGAAGCGGGACGCCGCGGGTATGGCGTGAGCGAGGTGCGCACGGCGACGAGTGCCGCTGGAGGCTGGCTGGCTGGAGCGCACGCATCGGTGGCTGGTCAGAGTCACAGCAGCTCGAGGGGAGCGGCGGGCTGGTCAGAGGGAGCAGGAGGCTGGCTGGCACGTGGGCCCCGGTGCCGCCCGAGGCCAGTCCAGGATGCCACGATTCCAGGGCCTGTCACGTGACCGGGGAGCCCGCCGAGGAACATGTGTGGGCCCCGCTGCCCGCTCGGTTTCCGAGGATGCAGGGCGGGCTGGCCGCTGCGAGTGGGTCCCGCCACGTCCCTCCAGGCCGGGGGATTTGCCTTGGCGCTCAAAAAGATGCGCTCGTGCTCCAGGCAGGCAGGCTCCGCTCCAGCCTCCAGGGACAGGGCCTTGTTTAGATCGTATCAAAATTCCAAGTTTTTTCACTCTCCACTCTCCTCATGTCAATTTTTGGACACATGTATAGAGTATTAAATATAGATAAAAAAATAATTAATTGTACAGTTTGGTTGTAAATCATGAGACAAATCTTTTGAGCTTAGTTAATCCATGATCGAACAAAATTTATCAAATACAAACGAAACATGCTATAATGTTCAGATTACAAAAATTTACAATCTAAAAAGGCCCAGGAGCCCAGGAGAGGACTGTCCGCTCTTCTGCCCGTACTACACGGAGAGGTCGAGGCTCGAGAGCCTGGGTACTACACGGAGAGGGAGGCATGCAACGTGTCGTATCTTGTTGATCCCGATGGAATTTGTTACGGGTCGTAGACAGAGCGTCTTTTTTGGTTGGGACATGTGGATAAGCGCGTGTTTAGTTTGAAGTTAAAATTCTAAAAAGTGTACACTACCTGTCACATTGAATGTTTGCGGCCTATGCATGTAGTATTAAATGTAGACGAAAAAAAAACTAATTACACAGTTTGGTGGGAAATTACGAGACGAACGTTTTGAGTCTAATTAATCCATATTTGAACACTATTTACCAAATAAAAAAGAACGTGCTACAGTAGCCCCAAATTCCAAATTTCACAACTAAACACAGCCTAACACGGCACGTCAAGCGCTACACGACGGGAGCTGCAAGGCCGTCCCGTCCCAACCGTCCCCGGGCAGGTGCAGCGCCCGCACAGACACGGGACAGGACGTGCGCGGTGCGGCTCTGATCCGAGCGTCGACTGACAAGAAGAGCTACCGCTACTACCTGAAGTCGGGTCAGGTCGGGTCGCGAGGAGGGAGTCCATGCTGGGGCTGGGGTTGGGGTTGGGTGGATGGTCTGTCGTCTCATCAGTGAGGACACGGGACTGGACGACGACCCAGCCACTCATCCTAGGTCCTTCCTGCGGCCTGTGCACTGTGCTGCCCGCGCGGCGGCTGCGAGCCTGCGACCACACGCACACGCACACGCACACACCGGATGTCCGGATCAAACTTTTTACTCTCAAAAAAGGCGCGTGCATGGTAGCCGTACTACTCCTACCGTATGTGCAACGGAGTACTTTGAGCCGCTGATGCGGGTTTTATGTGCAAGATTTGGATGCATTGATCTGCGTCCGTACTTGATCCTACTATTGATGGACTCTTACGGCGACTTGAAAATTTCTAACACCAGATGCCCAGCACAATGCACAAGTAGTTCAGCCAACCAGCGTGCACGGGAGTAGCGGCAGTACGTACTACTAGTGCAGGGTACGCGAGCAAGCAGGCAGCGTGTGCCTCCGCCATCACGCCACATGCATGCATGCTGACCCGTCTGCCGGCCCGCGCGTAAATGCCTTGCCTTTTGTGCCGGTACAGATGTGCTGCTACTGGTTGGTACTCCTACGTACTGTCCTACAGTATACGAAGACGGAGTACATACTGCTACGGATCACCGCATGGCATCTGGATGCACCTACTCCAAGCAGATTGTGAGATTGCCGTATGTACTGTTTATACTCGAATGTACAACCGATGACTAGTAGGTTGATGTAGCTTCTTATTGAAGTTTTACACCTGTCTTGGGATGCGTGACCAAACTAGAAATGCCGGTCGGTTCGGCTGGTATTAAAGTCGGCTGATAAGTCAGTTGAAACTGTTTTGTTACGAGAGAAAAATACTGTAGATTCTACCTGATAAGCTAGCTCAAAAGTTCAAGCGAATAGGCCCGCAAATATTGTGGGACGGAGGGAGGGAGCAGTGGGCACAAGCAAAACCAAGCAAAAGGACTACAGCTCTACTGCTCTACTACCCTCTAGCGGTGCCGGTGCGTGCATGTATGGATCTGGTGGGGAGCAGGCAGTTTAGCAGGTTATTATTACGTGAGCTAGCTCCGCCTGCCCGTCAACCAAGCTCCAGATCAGCCCAAACAGCCCCATAGACATCTTGCCAAAGCCAGCCCATCTATAACAAAGACTCGAGAGGAAGAAATGCCCAGCAAAAATCACCACACCAGTACGCCCTTGGATCCAGCGGCCCATCAGGTCCATTTTGTTTTCTAGAAGTTTGCGTCCTAGTCACATCAGAGCATGGCTACTAATACACCCAGCTGGCTACGAGGATCTTTGCAGCCTATCAGCGGTGGAGACAAGATTTTTGTAGAGCCTGGGTGAGACGCAACGTAATACTAAGGATACGTTTGGCAAGTTTGGTGGAACTTAAGCTCTTTTGAAAAACAACGCAAGTGATAATTTTATAATAGTTTGTATTATGTTTGTGAGGAGGAGCCAAGAAAAGCTAGGCTATGGCTCCTCTATAAAAAGGCTCTAGCTCCTCTGGGCTTCTGGCTAGTGTAGTGGGTTCCTGGCTACAGGTTCCCTGTGTAGCGGGTCCTAACGTCTATCACTATTATGTCTTGTTTGGATGAGATTCTAAAATCCAGATTCTGGTGTTTCTTGGATTCTATGTCTGTGTGTTAGAATCCTCAAGAGTTTTAGGTTGTTTGGATCGAATTCTAGGACTTTGAGATTTTTTTCTATCTGGATTCTTAAAATCCAGCCTTATGGATCCAAACGCTATCTAAAGGCCTGTATTAAAAACATTTCAATGCACTTTCGTTTTTATTTGGCAATTAGTGTTCAATCATGGACTAATTAGGCTCAAAACGTTCGGCTCGCAATTTCCAACCAAACTGTGCAATTAGTTTTTTTTCATCTACATTTAATGCTCTATGCACGTATCGCAAGATTCGATGTAATGACTACTACTATAGCACTTTTTAGAAAAAGTTTTTGAAACTAAACAAGGCCCCAAGCTACACTGGCCTGGCTACCCAATGTAGATTCAACAGCACTGCGGCGGCACAGGAGCACCGTCTTGTCTGTACATCCATCTTTAACTTTACTGTGGACACACAGGCATCTCGATCTTCACCTGCTTGTGAATCCATTGGACATCATGACATTAGCTGAGGGGAACAAATTGGATTTCTGATCATGTTCACCTTTCCAATTAAAATTAAGTGAGGCATGTTGAGAGGGTCATTTGTTTGCTCATAATTATTTGTAGCCGGCTCAAGAACCTTCTATCGCTATTTGCTCTGTTCGTTTGGCTGATAAACCATGACTGAAAGTACTATTGACTGATTTATTGGAAGAGAAAAATAATGTTTGTTGGCTGAAAAAGTATGGCTTATAAGTTAAACAAACAGGAAGATGCTAGGTGACTGGTCATCTGGACCCACTATTTTGCACATTATTTGTAGCAGGCTAGCAGCGGCCATCACCTATCGGAAATAATAATAATTTTTTTAGCATCATAATGAAAACCAGATACGGATGTCTTCGGTGTCAAAGAAACAGCAACAAATTACAACTTGCTTATCTGCTAGAATTCTTATACGTACAGCTGCCCGACATGACAAGATACATGGCGTAGCAACTGGACTATTCGTTGCACCAGCGTTTATATGGTCAGCTGACGTAATGCTTCCCCAACAAAATACAAGGTCACATCTAAATTCTTATATAAGGTGGTGCTTTTTAAACTTGAGTCCCTGTCCTATCGGATATTTGACGCAGGTAGAATATTAAATATAGACTAATTATAAAATTAAATACATAGATTAAAACTGTTTTACAAGACAATTTTTTTAAACCTAATTAGTCCAAGATTTAACAACAAGATGCTACAGTAGTATATGCTAATGACAGATTAATTAGACTTGATAAATCCATCTCGTGGATTACTAACGGATTTCTGTAATTTATTTTTTTATTAGTATCCAAACGTCCCATATGACACCCCTATATAACACATCCTGAACTTGAGTCCCTGGATGCAGACACCCCCCTAGATCTGCAGCATGTGAATAACAGTTTATCACCAACAAACAGAGCGGCCGGTCTAATTACAGTAGCTCCAGAGCTCAGGATCACAAAGATTCCTCCGAAGCCATACCCTGCTGAGTAAATTAGAACAAAAAGCCTAACAGCTACGAAAGATCTACAACAATTACAGAAACTTCTCATTTCCTCTCGACCCACATCATCTTCATTGAGATGAATCCCCCTATGACTATGAGTATAGTCCAGTGACAGGCACCGTCCAAGTTCTACATGCTGGTACCTCTGTAAATATAAGCACAGTTCCACAGATTTCACAAGATAAGCAACTGACAATAATAAATTGAACAGACCACAAAAGTTTCAATCAACTACGTACATGCTCATCACAGACCAGTCGGGTGCAAAATGATCTCCTTCAGAGCCCTCATTGCCATGATAGTTGCTTGTATGTAGACCTTTCTTTGTCCCAACTGCCATCAGGTTCCTTTCTCTTTGTTCCTGCTACTGGCATTTGGTAAATTCCTCCTTGATCTTCTGCAAAGCCATGTGGGTGTGCGATCAAATTTTGTCTGACTGGTAAAGGTACCCGTGCATCCTTTCCTTCTAAATCTATACTTCCAGGGCCTGAGTTAAGATCAAGGCCCTGACTTTCCCATTTACGACTACTGTCACGTCCACTGCTGTTGCTACCCTCTGCAAGATGTATAGCATACTGCCTTGAATGCTGGGCAGGTACTGATCCTGCTGGCCCAACAAGAGGGGGGGAGAGAGTTGAAAAATACGGAACTGCAGATGCAGAATTAGCAAATGTTGCTGATCCAACTGAAAATGCAGGTGCTTGAAGGTGGACACTCGGAGGAAAAGAAGGGAATCCTGCATATTGATATGCAGGCGGATGAAAAACCATTGTTGGAGACGTTGAAATAACTGGAGCCCTGCAGGGATCACCTCCAAATTGGCCACTGTCAGTGGTAGACGCAATAATCCTCTGGGCTCCGGATGCAGCCTCAATTTGGTACAGCTGTTCTCCTCTAGAAGGCAAAAATGATTGTATAGCTACTGGACCACAAGGGTTAGCAGAGGCAAGCCATGGTGATATATTACTCATGGCAACATTATCCATCCTTAAACCAGGAACTTGTAGGAATTGAATACTGCTTGTATTCTTAGCAGGTAGGTTCTTTGGCACAGGTTCAGTGACAGCATCATCAAGGCCTGGTCCACTATTAAGATCAAAGTCCCTCGAGATATTCATACCAGCATTAGAGACAATTCCAGGTAACGACCTTGTTGATGACAATGGGAGTTCAACTGTATGTGAAGCATTTGACACAAATTGGCCATTATCAGCAACTTCATCAGTTCTGTTCAGATCAAGCTCAATGCCAGCGCTTCGTGACGAGCCATCTCGACTTTTCGTATTTCCAGATTCAGAGCAGGTAGTCTGTGCAGAACTCTCTGGGATATCTTCCTGGAGAGCTTGGTCACCTGCAACATTCAAATCAAAACCAAGCTTGGGGCGAGACTGCTTCCCAGCAGTATGAGATACTGGAATGTCACGTGTGGTGGCAGGCATCTCCAAAATCTTCCTCGGTTCGGCTGGGCGGAATGCACTCGTAGCTGCTGAACCTTTCCATCCGATCTCAGGCTTTGCTCTTAGTAGGTTTTCAGGAGGAACAAATGGTCCTTTAGCTGGAGCAGCTACTGTTATTTGAGCTGACTGCAGCCCACATGTAATAGGCGAAGTAAATGGCGAAAGCCCAGTTAAATGGACCGTTGAGGAACATATAACAGGTGAGATAGTTGGCTCAGCCTGAAGCCCATCATCCCCAGGTATTCCTTCATTCAAGTCGAAGTCAAGCTTTGCTGTAGCATTTGACTTGGTGTGGGCAGCCAGAGAAGAACCTTCATCTGATGAGACAAGGTCATCTTTCCCGTCCTCCTTTCCACTCACACCATCACTGGATTTTTTTGAACTCTGCTTTGCACTATGCTCACTTTGCTGAGAATTGACACCTTCAGATTTTACATGACTGTTGGATTCACTTGAAGTGTTTTTTGATTCTTTCATCTCCTTAATCCCATTTGCTGGGGACGCTGCAGCTACAACTAGTTTTGAAACATCAGCCAAAGGGAAAGAAGCATTTTCCTTCTTTTCCTCCTCATTCCGCAGTATGCTACTATCGCCCACAGCATCAGCTTTTTTCACCTCTGCAGCCATCAAATCTAATTTGTCAGCCATACTGTCACGGCTATCAAAGGCTCCTGAGTGGCCAGATGCACCCAGAAGCTGCTTATGATTAGTTGATGACTTTAACAAACCCTGGGCTTGTTTATCGGCAGCAGACAATGAAGATTCCCCAGCAAGAACCAATCTTGAACTTCTACTGGAAACAACCAGTCTACACTGACTGCCCGATGTAGAATCCACAGCGCCATCCTTGTCTGTACAGCCATCTTCAACTTTCCCATGTCTACACGCATCCCAATTTTCACCTGCAGATGAATCCGTATTAGGCACATTGACAATTTTAGCATTAGCTGAGTTGCACAAATTAAAGTTCTGATCATGTTCACCTTTGGAATCAACTGAATCAGGTTGAGAGTTGCATTTGTTTGCATGCCCTTCATGGATTTCAATTTTGACTGAAGATCCAACTGCTTTTGAATCTCCTAGCTCAGGAGATGGCACAGATTGGGCTTGTTCCTCCTTTGCCGCCAAACAAGAATCACTTTTCACTTCCTTCCCACCGACAACTTTCTTAGCATCTGCTGGCCCTGGATCCTGTGATGGGCCCACATCACTTTCTACTTTAACCTTCCCAGCACTGTCACCCTCACAGCTCAATTTCTTTGCAGATAAATTTCTGGGTGAAGAAGATGGGGAAACCAATTCAGATTTAGATATTTCTCCTGCCACACTAGCAAGAAGATCCATTGCTGTGTCGTCTCCAGCATGCAAGGAATGACTAGCTTCAGAGTACTTGATTTCAATCAGAGCATTCATTGGACTGAATGAGTTTCCCACCTTGGTTTCACTTGAACAGACACCTTTTTCATTCATATATGATGAGGCTGAGCAAACAACTCGTGATGCATGTGCATCCTTAACAGAATCATCAGGTGTCCTGCTGTTGTCGTCATCTAATATAGCACATGGTGATTTGTCACCTTCCTCCAAACCAGCAGTTCCTTTAATATCATTGCTGTGCCAAGACTCTGCATTAACATCAGAAGTTAAATGAGGCCGAGAATTTTCAGTTTTCATTTTCACTCTGCGATCAGGCTGTTCATGTCTATCTGCAACCACAGGAGACGAAGCTCTACCACCAGTAACAGATGGGTCCTCGAAAGATCCTCCACTTGCACTTCTAGCGGGACTACGGCCAGGATTTGGAAACCGAACAATCAATCTATGATTATTTCCATGCTCAGATGGCATGTCAACTCCTTTTTCAGAAGCTGATCCAGTTGGAGATGATTTATCTGGAAGCAAAGATCGATCAAGGGACACGCATCTTCCCACAGAAGCTTCCTTCAGGTTCCCTGAAACAAGTCCATTGGTTGCCTTTCGATGGCCCCGTGAAGAACTTCCAGAAGTTTTACTAGCACCACCAGAAGCAGCAGTTGAGCTTCTTGCATCCTTTGATGGCTCACTAGAGCATGATTGGCTATTGTTCGGCGACTGGCTTGAGTTGCTACTTTTTTCCTCTTTCACAGTAGGCAGCTCAGAACCACCGGTTGATTTGCAGGGCTGGTCCTTCAAGTTGGCGGCAACATTTCCTGGTTGCATATGTTGTACTTTTGAAGAGACATAAGCAACGTGATTCAACTTTGCAACAGCATCTGTGCCCCCAGGATTATGAGTCAAAATCTTTGGTGATGATACAGTGGATGCTGGATTCTTTGGGCTGTGCTCACTTGATCCACCTCGTTTGCTTCCAGTATTTGAAATTTCTTGGAAACCTGCTTTTCCAGGCCAGGAAGCAGATTGGTCAGTTAAAGGTTTCAAATCATTCGACTTCATTTCAGCATCAACACGTTTCTTCCAGTTCTCAACAAGACACTTAGCTTTCTTCTGTATCTCCAAATTTTTGTGGCTGCGGAGATGATTGACAGATTTTCCAATGCTACAACTTTGCAGTGCACTGAGATTAATAGGCAATTTAGCTAGTGCACGAAGTAGCGCCAAGAGAAGGTCATCAATAGGCTTATCTGCTTCTTTAGAACTACCGTCACCAGACTTCCCTTTGTGAGCCTCTTGAAGCCAACTATCCAACACGGGAAGGCCCCTTGATTGCAAAAATCTGCCAAGACAATCAGGGCTCTCTGTAGCTGCAATAACATCAGCAAGCATAACCCGACCAGCAAGGTCTACCCTCTGCTCAGTCTGATCAAGTTGCATAAGATGCACAAGCTTTTCAACTGCTTCTGTGTTTTGAAGTCCATCTTTTTCAACCTTTGCTATTTCAGACTTAAAATCGTCCAACTTGCTTCCAGGCTCACTGTCATCAACATGCAGACGATCTCGATCCCGCTTAGCTGGATCAATTCCTTGCTCACCTCTATCCCTCTTCTTTCCCTTGGATAAACCACAATTCTGTGTACCATCTGTAGAAGTCTTCAGTTGCTGGGATGCTGATGAACCATTTAGCTGCTTTGGAGACCGTCCACCTGGCTGCACTACAGCATGCATTTCTAGCCTTGTTCTGTATAGAAGCCGATTTACTTCTTCCTGCCGTTCCTGGTAAAAAGTTTCACACACGAAACAGCATTATAAATACATATAAGAGAGAGAGAAAAACATGAAATAAATAATGAACCTACATTAATATAATCCCGGTCGGTAAGCCACCATAAACACTTGTTGTCAATATCGTATACACGCCAACATACAAATGAAGAAATTCCAACCGGGAGCTCAACACCTTTACGTAAAAAGGCAACTTTGCAAGGGTGCAGCAGGGAAACAGCAGATGCCTCGTCCTGGTGGAAAGAGTAGAAGATCTCGTTTGGTGCAGCGTTCAGTTGAATGCCCTTGTTAAGCTTAATGTCGGCAGGTCTATAAAGCCAACTAACGCGTAGTTTGGGATAGCCTTCTTCCTTTTTCTCAATCCAACGTATCAATCCAATGAATGGAGGAACATCAACAGCCCGGAAAAGAGCACAATCGCCAACTTGAATCTCGCGCCCGTCCTGAAAATTAAACAGTACTTATTATTTGTTCAAGGAGCACAAAACGTCCTTCATGTTAGTATGTTACAATGTGGTCTTGTTATTTTGGTGTAGGAATTGAACACTGCGCGAATTATATTTATAATCAAACAAGGAATGAAAAAACAATAGTAAAGCATGTAATTTCAATGAAGACTAGCACGAGCATGGTATGAGTTTGGCAGAGCTCAACTTCACTAGTGAAGTCGTTTTTGTTTTTTGTCTTTTTCTTGAGCTCAGCTCTACCAGAGGAACTAAAACTGTTTTGGTGAACTGTTTGGCAAAACAGCTCTACATGTGGTGCTCCTTAAAACATGCTCTCACGGAATCCCACGCAAGGCCACCAGAACAAGTGGGAGCTGGGAGAAGCTACTATTTTCAGCTCATCTCGCATCCACCCTTTGTGAGAGCACATTTTAAGGAGCTCCTCAGGTGGAGCTGTTTTATTTTACCCCGTCTGGCACAAAACAGCTCCAAACAGCTTCTGAAGCTGGTGGAGGAGCTGTGCCAAATGGGGCCTAAGTAATCTGTTACAACACACATATTGACTGGACGGTACTTGCCCATGATCCTTAGCAAAATTCCATAAAGAAGCTGTACCACTCCTTAAAAACTAAAAGGTGAATTTTTCATGCTGAGGGTGAGATGGCCATAGAATAGAATCCAATGATACAAAATAAAGTATGTTTACATATTAGCATGCTAGCAACTGCTACTAGAATAACCAACTCAACACACATTTCATGACACTTCTCATGCTAGTCTTTAAATTGCCAACTAGGCAGTAGTATAGTCATACTTAACATCATAATCGTCATTATCAGGTCGACGGAATCTCATAAAGGTGAGCAAGGAAGTTCAATTGCAATACCCAACGAAGACGCACCTTTATAAAGGAGCCAGGGGACACTGGGCGGGGAGAATCGACGCACTCCTGCTCCCGCGCCGCCACCGCAGCTAGCTGATTAGAAGTCGTCCGAGGCGTAAGAACAGAAAAACGGGGAGAAGTAGCTGTTGCCGATGGTGGTGGAGCTTCTGCCTCTACGCGTGCCGCTGGCCACATGAGCCGAACGAGACGCCGCCTCCTGCCGTCGCACCCCTCAGTGCCGCGCCACCCATCCATATCCGGCTCGTTGCATCTTCTCCAACGTCGCCGCCGAAACCTCCTCCTCGCCGAGCTCCGGCACCGCGCCGCAACACCATCACCAGAACGCCGGCAGACCCTAGGCCCTCCGAAACCCTAGATCCGCGGGTCTCTGCTCTGCCCGCATCCGGAACACCGGAATTCGAGTCCAATCGGCCGATTAAGACGAACCGTCTCACCGGTGGGAGCTCGAATCCGGCGGAATCGACGGGCTCCGGTCAGGCTCGATTGGGGATTTCGGGATTTCAGGGCTAGGTCAGCGGAGTGGGGCTGGGCGCGGTGGCTTGGACTCGATCCGAGGTGGGGCGGAGGAGGAGAGAGAATTTCGGCGATTCGGGGGAAGAGAGATCGCGTCTGGGGGAGCAGAGCGGCAGGGTCAGAGACGGCGAGCGAGTTCGGGTCGAGAGATGGGGAGAGAGAGGAGCTGGATGTCTCGTCTCGTCCTTTGCGGTTCCAGAGAGGAGAGGACTGCAGCAGAGGATAATTTGACCATGCATAAGTGATCGCAGCCCGTAATCAACGACGACGACGACAACAACGCAGCCCAAACGAGTTAAGGATAGTCTAGAGTTAAATCCCACAAAAAAAACCATGAGTCAGTGTTCAGATACTTCAATAACCAATTTTCAAGTACTCCTATTCAAACATAAATATCTAGATATATCTGAAGCTTTTAAATCTTTTTTTATTGTCTCTCCCAATATTAATTTCGATCTTCCTCTACCTTTTCTCATATTATTAGCTTGACTTATGACTCCACAATACACTGGTACCTCTGTAGGTTTTTTTAGGCATGGCTAAACTACCCCAACCGATATTGGATAAGTTTTTCTTCAATTGGTGCTACCTCTAGGCGATCACGTATATCATCGTTCTGAACTCGGTCCATTCTTGTGTGACCGCAAATCCATCGCAACATACACATTTCTGCAACACTCAGTTATTGAACATGTCGAATCTTTGTAGGCCAACATTCTGCTCCATACAACATAGCCGGTCTAATCATCGTTCTATAGAACTTGCCTCTTAGCTTTTGTGGTACCCTCTTATCACAGAGAATGTCAGAAGCTTATCGTCACTTGATCCACCCTGCTTTGATTCTATGGCTAACGTCCACATCAATATCTTCATCCACCTATAGCATCGATCCTAGATACCGAAAGGTATCCTTCTTAGACACTACTTGACCTTCTAAACTGTAATACCCTCGGTGTTACACTGTAAATCATTTACTAAAATATGTTATGAGCATCATGTTTATGTGTTAATGCATGTAATAAAGAATGTAGATCAATTTCCGTAACTCAAAACGATCAACGGAAATACGAAATGAAAGTTAATTCAATAGTCATGTTATATCACTTAGGGTTTAAAACTATTTTTATTAAGTAAAAATGCTATAGAACATGTATGTGATACTTAAATAAAGTTTGAAGTATAAACTTTGTAGATAACAATGAAATACCGGCGGTCGAAAAATGATATTACTGGCTAAGATTTCCAATAGCTTAGAAATGCAATTTAAAATAGAGTTCAACTCAAAACTTAGAAAAATTTCGAAGTTTGTTGACAGTTAGACATTGCTATGTTTAGCAAACTATTCTGAGGAATTGGGTTAAAGAGCGATGTAATGCTATAGCTTGCTTAAGTAGCCTCATATACCATCTGGAGTGTAGTGAAGACCGTTTATGTTTAGGAGTAATGGGTTGGTCGCGGTAGAAGCTTTAAAATCCGTGCACAGCACGTTTTTGGTTTGTTTCCCTCGCGTGGGCGCGGTCACCGTGCGTCAGTGGTCGGCGTCGCCGCGTTGGTGCGCCTTACCGCGCTGGGCTGGCCATGTGCCGTGGGATTAGCCTTGGGCGCTGCCGTGTGAGGCCGCCGCTGCGGCCGTGCTGCCCCGTTGCTGTGTTGCTGCCGCTGCGGCCGCTCTGCCTCGCTGTCACTCATCATGTCGTGCTGCGGGCCGCCTCATCGCTGCTCGCTGCGCTGCCGCCGCGCGTTGCCGGCATGCACGTTGCGCTCGAATCATCGCCTCGCCTTAATGGCACTACGGCCGCGCGGGCCAGGCCATGCTTGCCGTGTCACGCGCGCACATGGCCGGTTGTGGAGGGCGCGCTCGTCGTTTGCGCTTTGGACGGAAGCACTCGGCCGCGACATACGTGTCCCGCCAGTGCGCACAGTCGCGCCACTACTGCTGCCGTATTTTCCCCTGCTGCACCCCTACCGGCCGTAGTCACATCGCGGCCACCGAGGGCCCAAGCGCGGACACCAGCCATCAATTCTTCGCGCTCGTGGGTGCGCTCGATCGCCAGCATCTCAGCCGCCACCTCACCGCTTTGAATTGCATCGTGACGAGCCCCAATTTGGGAGCTTCCTCTCCGCCGCTCCATTTTAGACCGCGTAAGGCCGCGGCCAGGGGCAACCTCTAGCTTACCTTTCCAGACCAATCCAGCTACGCCTCTAGTTTAGCCTCTACCTCCACTTCACCCTGCGCACCTCACTTGCACCTCTACCGCCTCGCCGTAGCCACTAACGTGGCCGCACAGTCTCGGAGCGCCGCCACATCCCACCACCCGCACGTGGCTAGCTATAACACCCTCGGTGTTACATTGTACAGTTTTTGCTAAAACACTGCATGAGCATTATACTTATGTGTAATTGTGTGTAATATACGGTGTAAAGCAATATACGGAACTTGAAACGTTCAATTGAAACACGAAACGAATGTTACATTGCATGTCGCGTTGTATCATTTGGTGTTCTAAACGATTTTTTATTGAACGAAAAGGCTATAGAATGCACATGCGAAACTTTAATAAAGTTCGTAGAACAAGCTTTGTAGGTGACGGTGAAATACTCGCGGTCGAGAACGAGAGTCACTAGCTAGCATAGCTGGTAGCTTGAAAATCGAAAGTGACGCGAATCCGAACGAATAACTTAGTTGTTTCTTAAGTCGGAAAGTCTGTCGACGAAGCAAAGTTTGGGAATTTTTATAGGAGGATCGGGTTAAGTGGTGGCATGGGTTTAGGGTTCGTTTTAGTAGCTGGACATGCCATCTTGAGCGTAAAATAGTTAGTTTAGCGATCGAAGCCTTGAGGTGAGTTTTTGGGGCGCTTTAAAAAGCGTGCATGACACGGTTGCTGTGTTTGGGCGCGATCACCGTGCCGGCACTCAGCGTCACCGCGCTTGCTACCCAACGCGCATGCCGCACCGCCGCTACTGTCGTTGCCGCGCCTTGGCCAACCGCGCGTGCGCCTGCCACCACACTGGCCGTCCCTGCCACTGGCTCTACGCTGCCGGCCACGGCCACCTGCTGCTACGCCCAAGCCCGCGGTTCACGCATGCGCGAGCACACCGCTACCGTAGGCCTAGCCGCTCGGCCACCACCACCGTCGCTGCGGGCCTGCTGTCCTGGTCAGTACGCTATTGCCGCTGCGCCGTGTCTTTGCCCGCGTTGAGTCGCGTCACGTGCTACGCCAAGCCCGGCCGCTCTGCCGCCCTACCGCCTCACGCTCGCCTGTGCGGTGCCGTGAGCGCATGGCCATGCTTGGTTCTGCCCGTACGTCACCTTGCCATGTGTGGGGGTGCCACCTGCTCTTGCCATCACTTCGACTCGTCAACGCTGCGCTATTGCCTCCCCTAGCTGGCGCCGTCCACTATGGCGCAGTACCGTGCCGCCATTGGCTTGTGGGTTCTGGCATTGCGGCCAAGCGTCTTGTGCACGTCTCACTGTTCCCCATCGCCCATGCGCGCTTGTGCTTTGAGTCGACGGCCACGTCCCGCCACAACAGCACCGAACCTAACTTGCCTACCTTTCCTGTTCCTCTGTCGCTGGGCCGCGTCGAAGCAAGCTCGTAGTGTCGGCCAAATCCATGAAATTGCGTGCGCCCGTGGATGGAGTAGAGACCTAACTATGCATCGAACACTTCCACTGCTGCTGCCAGCCGGTGTCAAGCCCCAATTTGAAGTTCCTTCACCGTCGGACACTTTAAGACTCCATAGCAGCGCTCGTCTAATTCCCCTAGCCTCGTCCACCTCTGTCTAATTCATTGGCACTGTACCTTCGCCATGCTCCACTCTATCTTGTGCGTACCCCATTTTGCCCTGCTACTGCCTGCTCAGCGCTGCCGCCGTAGTCGCGCCATCACTACCGTCATGAGGCTTATCGTGCGTGCATGGCCAGGCTCGCTCGGTCAGTCTCCGATCAAGCCACCGTGACCAGTAGGTTCGGGGTGAGCGCTGTTGCCCATCCTTGAGCTTGTTCACGTTGTTTGTGCCTTGGCTCATGGGTACGTGCCCTCTGCCATAGAGAGGAGTCCATCGCCGTGGAGGGAGCTCGGGACAGCGTCTCCATTCATCGTATCGCCTCCCACCGCTTCGAGTTGACGTCGAGGTGAGCATCGGCTCCTTAGATAGGGCTGTGAGGGTTTGGTGTAGCCGGTGTAGCCCGCCGGTGTGCCGCTTGCACTATGTGTGAAAGCTTGTGTGTAGTCGAGAGGACTTGGCCATGGTAAAGAAGGAAAAGGGAAGGGTTATATTCGTAAGATAACTGTATGTAGAAATAGTACCATGGACCTCAGCGTGGTTCATCGGTAGGTCAGGGGCATTCTCACAAAACGCCATCACGCGTGGGCCTTCTCGTCGTAGGTCGGCACCTCTCGGCTAGCCCACGCCTTTGCGTGGGCCGCGTCGGTGGTGCGCGCGTCGCGCGGTTGTGGGCCACGCCACAGTTAGTGGGCCGCGGTTGGAAGTTTGGTTTTCTATTTTCCAGTGCATTAATAAATGCTTATTCAATTTAGTTTTGAGCTGATCTTTGATAAATTGTAGTAAATTTTATAGATGTCTAAAAATAGTTTGTTAGGTTCACAAAAAATGCCATCTATCTGTTAGTGCAATTAGTTTACAGTTAGCTGTGAGAATGATAGATTCATAAATTCAAATTAGAAGGCTTAGTATTATTTAGCTTAATATTTGTAGGA